CCTGATGGGATATCCTTTGTAGGTAACTTGATGTTTTTCTCTTGCCAATCTTAGTATCTTGTCTTGGTCTGTGGTTTTGGTCAACCTGGCTATAATGTGTCTTGGAGAAGATCTTCTTGGGTTGATTCTATTTGGAGTCCTTGCATTTCTTGGGACTGGATCTTTGAGTGCCTCTCTAGGTTTGGAAAATTTTCTTACAAGATTTCATGAAATAGATTATCAATGCCCTTATGGGTCTCTTCACCTTCTGGAATGCCAATTATCTAGATATTTGGACATTTGGTGGTTCTATTACTTTTCGTATATTATTTTCAAATTTTGGGGCAATTTTCTCAGTCTTTACGGTGGATTTTTCTAGGCCAGCAATTTTCTCTTTTATGTCTGAGACTCTATTTTCTATATAATCTAGTCTGCTTTTAATGCTTTCATGGGAGATTTTGACTGCCTGTATTATAGCCTTCAAATCTAACAGTTCCGTTTGATTCTTTTTTAAAGTGTGTAATTCTTTTTTTAGATCTTGCAGGAATTTCTTCACCTCCTGGAACTCATCAGCTTCTTTCTCCTTTGTCTTCTGCAGTTCCTTGTCTCCTCTTCCATCTCTTTTAGCTTCAGCATTATGAAAGTCCTAAATTCTTTATCAGACCTTTCCATGATTTCCATTGAACTGCTTGTGGATGAAGAGGAGTTATTCTTTTTTCTTGGAGGAGAGTTATTTTCTTTCTTTCCCATACTTCTTGTGGTTCTGTGGTGATTTCTAGTCATCTGATGGATGGAGTGTTTCTTCCTTAATCTTGAAGTTCAATCCTGAAATGACTAGTTCACAGGAGCCTTGATGAATCTTCTCCTGAAGGCCTGCCTTTCACCTCTTCTGCCACTCTAGCTTGTTTACTGGAGGCTGAATTATTGTAGGAAATCTTCATTTCTCTTTTACCCTGAGATGACTAGTTGGCAGGAGCTTTGATGAATCTCCAGTCTTTTCCTCCTTTTTCTTTCTTTTTTTCTTCTTTCTTTCTTTCTTCTTTTTTTTAAACAAATAACATCTTTATTTTAGCCTTCAAAAAACAAACTTTTCTTCTTTTTCCAAAAAAATCAAATTTTACTTACAAAAATGGGCATACATGTTCAAAGTATTTCCCTTTATTGGGAAACAGCTTTACAGGATCTACCATTAAAAGGTGTAAAAAAATTTATATTTTGTTGCCACTGTAAGAGAAAATGGAATCTAGCATAAGTCTCAGATATCCATTCATACTTCAGGTCCTTCTCCTCCAGGAACCATCATTGTTATATTATTTCCATTTAGCAAAATCTGATCTAATTTAGTAATCCTTCTTCCTTCTGGTGTGATTTCAAATTCAGTAACGTCTTCCAGTACCATATTGTCAAAGTCATCAAATCCTAGAAGTGTACCAACAATTTCCTTATCATTTTTCATCACAATGTGTATTCTTGATCCTATAAATTTGTCCACTAACTCTCTTCTCTGTAGCAATTTGTCATAATTGTGGTTTTATACTTATCTTATCCATGTATTAACCAATGTGGACCCCCGAGACCCTAAGCTCCATGAGCGTGGAGACCCTGATTATTTTTGCCCATCACTATATTCCCAGTGGACAGTGTGTGGCATATCCTAGGCATTCTAAGAGTCTAATGGCAGCAGCTGCAATGGGTTGGTAGTAGCGTTAACTGCCATGGCTATGCCGGACCAGTCTTTTCTTTCTTAAGGTCTTCAATTGATTGGATGAGGTTCACCTATATTATAAAGGCTAATCTGCTTTCGCCAAAGTCTGGTGATTTTTTTGTTGTTTAAAGACTGAGTCTTGCTCTGTCACAATCCTCCTGTCTTAGTCTCCCATCTGTGACTACAACAGCTCATCACCACACCTGGCTGAGTCTGGCAATATTGCCCAAGAGTCATGGAACTTGTGATCTTCCTGCATGGCTCTTCCCTGGGATTACAGGTATGTACTACCACATCTAGCCTTGGATTGGAGTGGGAATCAATCAAACCTGGGCTTCTCATGTGGTCCCAGCCTGAGGAGCAGCAAGCACCACTGTGGCTGGGCTAAAAGTCTATTGATTTAAATGTTAACATCATTTAACAAATGTCTTCACTGAGACATCTAGTCTTGTGCTTAACAAATGCCTGTCTACTGTGGCCAAGTAGATATATAAAACGAATCATCAGACCCAGCTAATACAAAGCCCATTAACTATAAAGATCTATCTCAGAAAAGCAAATTACTTCCTACTTGAGTTTCTATATTTAACTTTTTTCCTGGCTCAAGTCATCAGTTCAGGCTGGGCACAACTCTGGGCAGTAAGTTGCAACTGACCTGAATGCCTTCCAGGACTGGGGCAGGGTCAAGATAGTCAGGGTGGGGACCAGCCGATGGCATAATGGTTACATCACTGGACTCTCATGTAGTTGACCACAGTTCAAGTCCCAGACTCAGCAGTTTAAAACGTATACAAGGTGTGTGCCCAAGATCTTCATAAGAGAATGAAGGAGAAGGGATTGTGGTGTGGCCAGCCACCCTAGGAGGTCTTGCTTTCTGTCTCTCTGTCTCTGTTTCTCCAGCAAGTGCATGCATCTTATAGCAAAAATCTGTCTCTTAAAAAAAAAAAAGATAGAGTGCACATGCAAGTACATCCTCAGGGCAGTCATGCTACCCCTGGAGACCAGGAGTTTATATTTGTTCAGGTATCCCAAGCAGGCCTTACTTAGTCAGAAAGGACAATGGACCAGGGCCCCACTGTGGCCTCCCACTGGAGACTTTCACTATGGGCTTCCATGATCATTCCAAATAGCTTATGTGTGTCTTTCCTTTTGGAACTGCCAGGTGGCTGTAAGGTCCAAACAGTTCTGTTAGTCTATGACCCACATCCATCCCCTTCACAAGCATGGATGACAGTTCTATGTGTTCCCCTAGGAAGTTCAGGAGTGGGGCTTAGCCCTGCTGTCTCACAGTCAGCGCTCTGTCAGGTGTCATCACAGGGTCACCTATCATTGTGATTTCAAATTGCTCACAGCAGCTTGAAAGGGAGTATGAGGAGTATTTCTTTGGGAAAAGGAGTTTTCAGAAGCAGTTTTGAAGATAAAGATAACTAATGTTCCCTTTCCTCCCCTTGCCTGCTGGCAGGTGCCAGTTTTTACATTTTTCCATTGTGATACAATCAGTGTGAACAATTCTCTAGTCATAACTTTACCTTTCTTTCATTATCCCTGATGCTTTTCTAGATATTGTGTCTGGGAAAGTTATATGCAAGAGGAACAAAAGTATTTTCATAGAAAAACATTTTTATGTAATTTATCTACAAAGATACATCATGTTTAGGAATTGGTCAAGATAAAATCCTGAATTTTTAGAAATTTTAGAAATGGGGGACTGGCAGGTGGTATGGTGGTTAAGGGAGCTGGACTGCCACATGGCTGACCCCGGTTTGATTCCTAGACTTGGAGGCTTGCTTTCTCACTTACCTTCTCTCACTCTGTCCCTCTCTGGTCAAGGTAAAAAAATAAGTAAATAAATAAATAAAGTTAAATAAAATAATTCTTTAAAAAATTTTAGAAATGGGCTGAGGCTGGCAGGTGGCATGGTGGTTAATGGTGCTGGAATCCCATATGGCCGACTGTGGTTCGAGTCCTAGACCTGGTGACTTGCTTTCTCACTTTTCCGCTCTTGCTCTTTTTCTCTGTCCCTCTCTGGTCAAATTTAAATAAATTAATAAAGTTAAATAAAATACAAATAAGAATAAAAGAAAAAAATTAGAAATGGGTTTACATAAAAACTCATTCCTTTGTTTCTATCTTTTACCCAGTGAGCAGGCTGGAAAGGACCAATCCCTTGCTGGGGTTGCTTCACTGAACAGTCAAACAGTCTAACATCTTACCTCTCTCTCTCTTTTAACTTTTACCAGAGGGCCTGTGCATTTGCCTGAGAGAGACAGAGAGAGAAGGAAAGCGAGAGAGCACCCCCATGGGAAATGGTCACACCACAATTCCTTCTCCTCCAACTCTCCCTCCTTTCAGGAATTTAAGCACACATGCACACACGCCTGGCATATTTCTCAAGCTGCTGGGTCCAGGACTTGAGCCACAGGGTCAGTCAGTGGGATCCAGCCACTTTAACTACCACACCATAGTCTGGCACATTCTTCCCACCCCCCAAGAGCCACCAGCCACAAGATGTAAAACCATTGTTTAAACTCCTGCCCTGACTTTCCCATCTCATTGAATGGTTCTTCAACCCCCTTATAGTCTAGCATTTGCAGGGTTATTATTAAAGGGCTCGGAGCTATAAGGGGCTGCAACAGCAACAACCAGGCTGAAGAAGCTGGCTTATTTTTTAAAAAAATTAATTAATTAATTAATTAAGTTTTCATTTCATTTTCTTTTATACATTCAATTAGGTTATTATTTGTCTTACAAAATGGATATTTCAACAGGTGAACATCTCTCCCCAACACAGTTGACAAAACCACAAAACATCCTCAACAGACAATTCCACACCTCCCTGTGACATCAATACTTTGCCTCCCTATTTTTATTCTAACTGTCCTTCCTCAGACCCTCCTCTTGCACACATACTATATCTGGTATTTACATCTATATACTGTTTTTCTATATCCTTTAGTGAATTAGTTTCAGTCATAGAGTGCAGAAACTTGGCATGTATTAAGCGGGAACATACAATGCCTCTCCTTCATAGACTGACTTGCTTCACTCAGCAGTAAGTCTTCCATATTCATCCACTTTCTGTCAAAAGCCAGGGTTTTGTTGATTTTTAGGGCTGAATAGTATTCCACTGAGTATATTTGCCATAGTTTTTCTATCCACTCATCTATTTGTGGGCATTTGGGTT